TTCAAGACCACGGCCACACAGCCCGGAAGACCCACACCAGCCATCGTATGCTGGCCGTGAAAGCCTTCGACAATACACTGCTTGTTTGCTTGCATACATTCATAGGCCATCCAATTCAAAACTGTTCTGGGCGGTTATAGATCAGAAATGCAGACCAACTACATCATGGCTTGTTAGATACAGAAAAAGGCTTTAATTTGCGGAACATGACGTTTTGATGAGTTAAGGATTTCCTTTTGTTTTTATCAACTTGATTAAAATGTGGTACCTTAATCCATCCATTTTAGTGTTAGAATTATTTCTTTACTTTTTAGGCCTCTTCTGGAACTTGACAGGGATATCCTTTATTTCCTCTCATATTGAATTTGATATTGAAACCATTTACCTGTTTTACTATGCCATACAGTCAAAAGAGACTTTACATAGTGCTGTGGTCAGAAAAAAATATTCTTCTCAAAATGTTTATCTTGCGATACTGGTTGAAGTTTCCCTTCAGATTCAAAGCCCCTGTGGTTTCCTTTTCCAAAACGCTTGAATGTTTCCTCAACTATCTGAAATGGGATTTGGGAATGGGGTGGTGGTGGATGAGGCAGGATTGGATGGAATTTGCATAGTAGACACATCACTGGCAAATTCTGCCAAATTTTAGACAGTTAGATGCAGAGTGTTTTAAGGTTTGAATTTTTCTTAATTGAGAAGAAGGAATGCATCTTCCAAGATGGTTGCCACTACAAATTGTACCCATAATCTAAAAGCATAATGTGTTGACGTATCTCCTGCCCCCGAAACTATTGTTATATGCAATTTATGCAGATTCAGTTAACTGCCACATACAAGTAATGAACCCTTTCTAAACTAGCAAAAGCCCTCATAATGATTTACAATCTGTTTTTCAGGAGATGATTTCTCATTGATACAGCAAGAAATCTATATGGTTAAAGAATGCAAACACTGTAACATAGTAGCATACTTTGGAAGTTATCTCAGGTAAGGCTTCTTCCTTCTTATCTTAGTCTGAATTATTTTCTGTGCCAATTTCCTGGAGACAGCTAAAGCCATCTGCAAATGTACCTGGAAGCTGTTTTGTTTGAGTTAGCTGTCTCTTACAAAATGCAGTTTATTGAAGCTTTATTGCTAGGTGTGGAAGCCTTTCCTTAGCTGTGATGATATAACAGTGAAGTAAACTTTTTCACTGAACTTAAAGTGACGTATTTTCCATTCCACCAGAATTCGCATTTGATTGAACTTCATCCTTCACTGGAGTTGATCTTGTTTCATGCACAGATTTTAGGGCAACTGATATTGAAAAGCCCCTGTCTGCCCTTAGCTTTAGGAGTTGGATAGAAATAACAGCATGCTACAAATAAAAATTGCTCAACTGCTGTTGTTTTGTAAATGGGAGATCGTTGTGATCTATAATCTGAACAATAAATTGAATGGTAGATGGATGTTTTTCAGTTTGGGTTGTTTTAGAATATTGATTCTGATAATTTCTGCTTCATTTTTTAGCCGTGAGAAGCTGTGGATTTGTATGGAGTACTGTGGAGGAGGGTCCCTTCAAGACATTTACCATGGTATCCGAATGTTTTATTTATTACGTTATTTTTATTGTGTCCCTTTTCTTCCTCACTTCCCTCCATTTTGTATTCATGGCAATTTTATTGCAATGGCTTAAAAATATCACAATGTTGCTTGCTTTTAGCCATGAAAGTTAACTGTGGGAGGCAATTGTCAAGCCCCTGTGGTGAGCAAGAGGTTTTCTAGGCAAACAGGCAAGAACCTTTCTGAATTGAGGGAAATTGCTTTTATTTTGTTTTCTTTTGAGGCCACCCATTTGCAATAAATTAATAATATAGTCTCAGGCCTGTGGTAGATTTGTCTTCAGATAATCAAAGCTGGGAAATAGGTGGCCAGGAAATAAGACAGGCAGAAGTCAGGTTCCAGAGCAAGAAAGTTGCAAGAAAGGCAGAGGCATCATCAAAGCTTGAGAAAAGTCAAGAATCAGTCAAGAAAAGCAAACAAGCATTCACGAGAGTCCTTGTAGCAGTGACAAATAGTTTTCCAATTGGAAGAATAAGTTTTGATGGGCTGCAATCTGGCTTTTTTCATCAGCTGACTGGAATGAAGGTAAACTAGCATTCAGCAAGATGATATTACAGGTTACCTGGCGCCTTTGAACCATGTAGCCCAGGCTGCCAATCTGTGCTATGATATAGAAAGCAGGGCACAGAAATTGTGTTCTAAACAAAACCATAATTCAGTTTTCTCTGTTTACCCTCCAGACATGTTAGACTTAAATAATCCCACAATAATTACACTATATCCTCTGGTGACATCACAAGGAAGAGAGTGGAGGCGTCCCTCTTTATTTTCAGCTAACCACACTTTCTCATGGCCAAACTGACTTTAGTATTAACTAGATCATTGATCTGAAGCATTGATAATGGATAAATTCATGCTTTTTTGAATAAACTTATTTAACATTAATCACAATTTGCATCAGTCTTAACAGCGATTAAGAACTTGTTTGAACATGCTTCCAGTGTTCTCACAGCCACACTGTGGACTTGAGGTGCTTGCATGTAACCTTTAGCAATAATTATATATTACATATGAACATAGCCATAGTAAGAATCATCAGTCGCAAAACCGGCAAACAGCAAATGACAAAAAAGACTATGCTGGTACTTCCCACTATAATTCTAGTTTGGGGCCTAAATGTAGAGAGGCAGAAAACACATATTTCTGGGAAGGGTTTTCAGAATTGGGATACCGTCACAGAAAGTAGTTGACTTCTTGGCTTTTGAAGATGAAGGTGCCTACAGGAAGATCTCAGTGAATAGGTAGGCTCAGAGAAAGCAGTTCTTCATAATGAAAGCAGGCTATTTAAACTTGTTTGACACCTGCAGAGATAAGCAAAAGGGATGTCATTACACCTGTATGTGCATCCAAATATATGTGGAATGCCACTATGAAAAATTGAGTGCTAGGCTTGGATGGATTTTGGCCTAATCTTTTTTTTTTTTTCCTTGCTGCACCACAACCATTACAGTAATGTGGGGTTGGTTCCTTGGATGCCTGTTTCATTTTTGGCTTGTTTGATGCTTTAGTCCTTTACTTCAAGAATGTGCTGCTGCATATTTCAGCATTTGTAAGTTTGCTTTTCCTTTCAGTAACGGGGCCACTGTCAGAGTTACAGATTGCGTACGTTTGCAGAGAGACATTACAGGTAATTTTATCTATCTATCTATCTATCTATCTATCTATCTATCTATCTATCTATCTATCTATCTATCTATCTATCT